ATCAGATAATGTCATTCTAGTTAATTCTGCCCGCTTAAAGTCTATTTTGCCCTCCCTGTTCCTAAACCCCAGTGCTTTGAACAACTCTGCGCCATCATCCTGAACTCTAGCATGAAGCCCTTTACAGAACATTACCAATTCTTCGGCAGTTCCCTCTTCCTCTCTGCACGCACTGCATACCGTGTCTACCCCTTCGTATTTGGCCCGATTTGTCTTGGTTCGCAATACTCCCGTCCTGGCCTCAAGCAGTAGAAAACTACCCCGAGTATTAATTATCATAGATCCTTTCCTTTTCAATTTCCTGCTTAAAAGTTCGATAGATCTCTAGTGCGCACTTCTTAATCATACCGATTCTCCACTTATCGGTCTCAGCTTCCTTCACCTTCATCTTAACCGATACTTTTTTTTGGTTTGGCCTCCTGCTGTTTTCTAAGTAGTTGCCAGTCAATTTTCTGGTTCGCTTCCTCCATTTTGTATCCACATTCTTCACGTATAAGTAGCTGAATACCTTCCTAGCCCAACGCTCCTCCCCCATTTCTCTCAATCGCTTCTCAAATTTTATCTTGCTGCTAGCTTCTCTGCCCTCAAGTGATGTCCATCCCATATCACCTTGTACTCCCTGATTTGGTTTATTCCCGTGAGCTCCTAAGGCAAGCCTACCCATTCCCCGTTACATAATTTCTAATCTTGCTTGGATTTCTGATCTCATGCACAAGACCGCATTGCTGAACGTCAGACCAGGCACCATGACTCCTTTCCATATTCCTCTAACAACAACATACCCATTGTAATTCCACAGTGCCCTGTTTTTTTTTTCACCGCTGCATTCCTGTTACCTTTAGTCGTCACGTATATTTCGTGTTCTCTTAGGTACTCGGCCCCATTGCTTATCAATACGCCCAGATATTTATCTGTTCTCTCTGGCATGAACTCCTGTATTCAAAGCTCACTACCTTCATTATTATTAAGAATCATGACTGCTGATTTTTTCTTACTGAATCTGAAATCTAACCTATCTCCCTCATTACCGCAGATGTCCATCAATCTCTGCCAATCTTCCTTGTTGTCGCCCATTCGCACTATATCCTCTGCGTACATCAATGCTGGTAGTGCCTATCCAATCAGTTTCCCTTGTTTGACAAAAGAGAGGTTGAAGCCCAGTCCACTTCCCTCTAATTTTGCCTCTAATTCTTGTAGGTACATCATGAATAACAAGGGTGACAGAAGACACACCTGCCTAAGCCCCCGTTTTACCTCTGCAGGCTTGGATACCTGTTTTTCCCACTTTACAACTGCCTTGTTACCTTTATAGATATCCTTCAAAAGATCAGTGACTCCATCTTCCACACCTGGTGTGTCCAGTATTCCCCACAAGTCCTCTTCAACCACACTATCGTACGCTCCCTTGATATCGAAAAATGCTAGCCACAGGGGTCTGTGTTCCTTTTCTGCTATTTAGATGCACTGCGCCAGTGAGAACAGATTGTCTTCCAACCTCCTGTGTTTTCGAAACCCATTCTGCAGTTCCCCCAGCACCCCCTCATCCTCTATCTGTGCCTCCAGTCTTTCCTTTATAATCTGCATCGCCAGTCTGTAGACCACTGACGTTACTGTCATAGGACGGTAGTTGTTTATGTCAGCTTTGTCCCCCTTCCCTTTATAGATAATGCTCATCCTGCTAAGTTTTCATCCATCGGGGACTTCACCATCGATTATTATTTTGCTCACTGCCTCTCTCAAAGCCTGCTTAGACTTCGTACCTAATGTCTTTATCAGCATAGTTGGAATGCCATGTGGGCCTGTTGATGTACTACTATAGGAACCCTCTTCTCGGCCCTTTCCCACTCTCGTTGTAAAAATGGAGCCATTGCGCCACTTGATTCATTCTTGTCTATTGTGATGCATAAAGCACTTCTTTGTACGGGTCTGGCACGACAGTTCACCGAAAAAGGTCCTCACTCCTCCCATGTAGCGGCGCGGCACTTTGGACACTCCCCCATATTCTAGGTCGCTCTACCACGGCCACTGGATGAAAGAGCTCACGGGTACGGCTCGCCACGTGCTCTAAAATTGGCATGACAGGTCTAGTTCCCGAACTGCCGCTGCGGTGGCACCGGGGGGGGGGGGGGGGCGTTTTTGCGAGCGCCCATAGAATCGCATGCATGCGTGGCGCGCTTGCGGTAGTTACGATTGAGCGCGTGAATCTTTGTGTGACAATCTCCTTTTAATATCCGTCTGGCGTGTGCGCACCAGGTAATTACCGAGCTTGCTTTTAGATAACTGCAGCCCTTGCAAATTTCGGTATTGTCTTACCCGAGATGGAGCCTTGCTCACCGATCAGTTTTCGCGGAAGTAAAAAATGTGAGCACATCTTAATCAGATCCTACAAAATCACAACTAAACAATCTGGAACAGGTACACCTTTCTAATGCATTTAAATTAATTATGGTAAATGAGTATGTTGCTTCAGAAAACGTTGCTTCAGATTTAATAATTTCATTTAGAATATTTAACCTCAGCGACTGTAGTTTCCACTGCTCCTTTGACGAAAAATAAGATAGAGTTCTCAATTCCTCCAAACACGTCTATAGTATTCATACAATGCAGTTTCAGATGCAACAGGCACGAAATATACGTAGCATAGGTGCGATCTCGTTGACTCGAGCCTCTTTGAAATTTCAGTGACTGTAATTTCCACGCTGGCAATCGAGCAAGCAGTTCTCAAGTGAATAATATAAAAACTGTGAGGCGAAAAGAGCGATGAAATGCTGCAAAATGCAAACACAAACTCTTGCGTTCCTGAGCTTTTGAATGTTTTCGTCTCTTTTCATCCTGACGTTCGTATGATAATGCAACTAATTCAACAGTGAATACATAATCGGAACAAGATGCGTGAAAATATTTTATTTATTCTTCCTTTAGGGCTAATCCTGGCATTCTTAATATTTTTTTACTTTTTACATTTTTGCATAATAAAAAGACTTGACCATTGCTCCAGATTATGCTCCCAACTTTTGGCTTCTGTGTCAATTGACAATAAAACCATCCGTTTGGTCTTTTCATGTTAGCCTCTCCATGGGCACTGGCGAATGCCGAAAGCGCTCAAATGCCACGCGCTTGTCGTCTGGCAATCTCCTTCATGTGGCTCAGTCATCCATTACTGCTTATTTTACTTCTACTATGTATCGTCGTCGACAAATAGGCACCTGTGCTCGCTCCTCGCTGAAACGAAGGCACGTCACGTCACCCGACTGCCCTACAGCAGCCGTAGTATATATATATATATATATATATATATATATATACATATATATATATATATATATATATGTATATATATATATATATATAACAGACAATAATGCTAAGAAATGTATAGTGGAAATTATTAGAACCAATGTAATGTAAATAAGAAGAAAGAAGAGTAGGTGAAAAAATAACTTGCCGTGAGCAGGAACCATTCAGCTATCATGGTGGCCATTTCCCTCAGCCACTTTGTTGGTTTTATATTTGAATTTAAACGTGGGAGTGTCAGTCAGCACCATCTGTAGCCATGGCGGCGAGTGTGGAACATCCTTTTAAGACCCTGTGTGGCGTCACGTAGCACGTGACCTTATTACGATCGGGCAGCTTACCAAAAGTTCTCGTATACAACCTAACGACACCAAGTCTGTCAGTACGAGACCCTTGTTAATGAATAAAGGAAAGAAGTGTGTACCTAAGGGCTCTGTTTTCCTTGTTTTGGCACAATAAAAATGAGATCTAACAGACAATAAGGCGGCCGCTACCGTAACGTTCACTTGTGGACTGCTCTCTTTGCACTACCCAGTTATGACCTGCGCGGCAATGAGGGTGCTTGTGGTGGCATTCTTCGCAGTGCCGTCTAGGCAGCGTCTGACGGCTATACGCAGTGAATGTAAAGAACACGAACGACACCTTGTTTTTCTTCTATTGCTCTCTACAATGATGTTCGGACTTCACAAATCGAACGTCATTAAGCGTTCAGCTACAGTGGTCACTGCATCTAGAGATTAACGCACAGGCTACCATTCTTTCATATGTGGGTTACTGTTCGTACACACTTTGTGCTCGCATGATTTGGTGACACTTGAGAGCTGACGTGGGTATACAGTTTTTACCAACTTTAGTTCTGTATCAGCGAAATCACTGTTGCACTACTCCTCGACTAATATCTGGTTTTCAATGAACCTAGTTTGTTCTGTTGAAGTTAACTTTGTGCAGTTTTCTGTAACCATCTCATGGACATATTGAGAAGAATAGTGTCACGCCGACTGCAAAATCTTCGCGTCAAGTCTTGTTCTGCCAGAAATGCCTCACGACCTGTTGCTTTAATCGACCTGACAACCGTGATCGGAAGTATATGTACGACAAGTAGATGTGGGTGGCTAACCAGCTTAGAGAAATCCTGTGGAGGACAACTTTCATGAACTTCAACCATGTAAGAGGAGTATTTTTTACTGCTTCACCGCAAAATAACTTACCAGTTCATGGAGGAGCTGTCTAAAAAGATAGTCTGTGCAAACTCCTAGCATTAGGTCAAAAATATAGCCTAATCAGGTATATCACATGCATGTAATGTTGTAGAGCTTGAGGTTTCGCATGCGCATTGAGCGATACGCGATTGCACAAGGAGGGCGTTGTAAGAGGTTATGAGAAAAAAAGCACCTATGCGCCAACACATTCTTCAAGACTTTCGAATTCGCTTTTGTATAACATTTGCGAGTGAAGCTATATCTACGACAACCTATTCGGCCACATTTGCTGAACTTATTAGCAGTGTTTGTATCCCTCTGATCCATCGACAAACTACTACTTTCAGGAAAAGCGTAAGCAAAAAAAATACAATGCGTGCACTTGAAAACCAAGCAACATTGCTCTACAAATGACGTTTTGTTGCACTCAGACATTTTGCATTGTACTGTCAGATGGCCCACTACTAGAGGCAGAGGTGACAGATTGTTGGCAAGAGCTCGTCATGGTGATTGGTTGGGTGCCTGCGTATAATTTATTTCAATAGTCAGCTGGCGACAGTCATTTCAGATGGACTGGTATTTCTTCAGGATGGGGTAGATGTTGTCAAATGCCTTGTAGATGTCCTCCCGCAGCTTGGCCCCTGCGGATTGCATGTGTTTTAGAGCAGAGAAAGCAAAGAATATTGAACAGATGAACGGATGAGAAAGGCAAAAACAAATAAACAGGTATTGCGTGCGAGCAGTAAAAGATATGGTAATTAAAAATGTTAACAATATAAAATTGCTTAACATAAAATAGGAGGCCGTTTCATGTCGACAATGATGCGAAATAACCAAAGTTCTTTTTTCCGCAATTAGAACGAATTGACGATAAGATGCTGTTTGTTAGCTGTGAATGTTCTGCGATTGAAGTAACTAGAGTAGCCTCCGCAAATACACTAACTGAATGAGGATTGCATAACAACAATCATGTGTTTTTACATTGCCAAAGAATGCCCAGTATTATTCAGAAAAAGCCCCAGCTGCGTTTGATGCTAGCCCCAAAGATTAACATCAAAATGTTCATAACTGAAAGCAGATTCTTCATAGTAGCCGAGAGAATTATGCCACTTGTAGTTGGTAGCTTGCCTGTGAGTACCACCTTTCCGGACACGAACACAAGGAGCAAGATGCAGGGCTTCACCATGCGGTACACTAGTCCCGGGAATAGCTCTGGCTCGTAGCTGCGCAGCATTCAAGAAGTGCTCAAATGAAGGTGGACGACGGAGAACTCTCCAAAAAGTAGTATAATTCAGTGACGAAATTCTCTATCCCAAGCTACACACAAACGTCGTAGAAAGCAGTGGTCTCTGTTGCAGAAATTTCACCAGAAAAAGCATTTCCTCAGACATCTCGGAAATATATACAAACTTTTTCACGCACAACAAAGCAGAAGTTGCAATGAACAACACGAAGTGAGCGCTAACTCTATTTTCGCGCATTGATCTAGCACTTTTGTACAACTTAACAGAGCTGATTAGACTGTGTGCTAGCAAATCATGAAGTCACTCAACAGCTTAGGGAGCATTCAGTTTTCGCATTTGTATATTTATATCCAACACTTTCGAGGATATTCCCTCGTAATGTACTCATTTTTTTGTAATTAGTTGCCTTCTGAATTTCACAACGGCGCCTACAAACCATAAACTGTTGAGATGTAAAACGTAATTCTTCGTTATTAAGTTTGCTTAGTTATTTTAATCTCCCAAAATTATGATTCACTGCTGGTGGATGGGGTTTATAAAAGCCACTCTTCCTCTGCCTTGACGCTGTCAGCATGCTGCATATTCCGCACAGCCCTGGTGCTCTTATACATGTGAAGGGGAACAATAGGAAGATTGTAAAATTTTTTTGTTGCCCACCAAGTTCTGCCTGATATATTTACCGATTGTAATTTTTCTGCTGTTAACGTCGAGAGGCGGAGCAGCAATCGAAATAAACTGTTCTATATATCGGGTAGGGTACTTATGTAGGTTTCAAGGTCCTCCATTGTATGAGATTTGTTGCCCTTAATGCTGAAATTCACAATCACCTATAACATGCTTAGTTGTAAACCGCTATTCTTTGTTCTTATTCATGTTCTGTTCATCTGCTTCGCTAGAGAGTATTTATGGCACAGTGGATACAAGTAGTACTTCCCTACAGATGTTTACAACGGGCTATGAATAAAATAAGGGCAGCCTGCCAGGGCTGTGAGTGCGCTACATGTCTTACGCAGGCCTGCGATGTTTAAGTGTGTAATGCAGAAAGTTAGCGAGAGTGGGTCTCCTCGCCCATCGTGCTTTTGCCTGATATATTCACCCGTTGCAATGTTGCTGCTTATCTAATTGAGGATTGAAGTTGTTGTGAATTGATTCTATATATTCCCTTCAGGGGCGAAGTATTATGCACTGTAATATTACCCACTCCGCGATTGTGTCAGATTTACATAAAATTCTAAGGCACTCAATACTACATTCCAAAACACAAAATGAGGCAACGTGTTCGTTTGTGTGTTTCAGCAGATAATAGTAATCACCATGGAGATTAATGCTTCATTAGTCTGCAGTGAGCCATGGTTCTCTTTGACATGAAAACAAACGTACAGCTTCAAAGCGCCGGAGATGCTCGTCGAAGCTTGAGAAAAACACGACGACATCGTTCAAGTACACGAGACAAATCTGCCACATCAATTCCACCAGCACGGCGTCTATCAATTGCTGCAACGTTGCAGGTGCCCATCAAAGACCAAACGGCATCACCTTGAACTGAAGGAGGCCGTCTGGTGTAATGAATGCCGTCCTTCCTCGGTCTCGCGTCGTCTACTTCGATTCATTTTCATCATTTTTATTTATTCAACCTTGAGGGCCCGAAGGCATTACATAAGGGGGGGGGGGGGGGTCATACATATGTGTTGTAGGTTCCTAAGCAACGTAACGTTATGAGGGTACACACTGATTACCATGAATAAGCAAATAAAGAACACAAGCGGAAATAACACGCATAAAACAAAAAAAAATATGATAGGCGATAAATACGTTCTGGGAGTACAGTAAAACAGCTATAAACGTAAGAGTTAACGTGTTGTTAAGACATCGTAGTTGGATTTTGGGTAAGTTTTTCGCGAAATGTTGAGCGGTCCCTGCAAAAAACACTATTATCTGGCAGTGCATTCCAGAGTGTTACGGCAGGAGGGAAAGATGAGCTGCTCATCGCCATCATCCGGCATTTTATGGTCATCAGAGGGTGCTTATGAGACAGGCGAGATGGCGTTCCTTATGGGTGTCTTAGGAGCGGATGTCCGGACCTGCTAAAGTAAAAGAGTGTGTGAAGGTGGTAGATACGAGAGGTTATGCATGCGACGTGAAGCAAGCGATGCGTGTGACAACGTTTGTTTTAGTGCAGTTGCGCTGATATGCCTTGAATATTGTGACGTAATGAAACGAGCTGCACGATTTTGAACGGATTCCAAATCATCGGTGAGATAAGCTTGTGAAGGATGCCAGATGAATGACGCAAAGTCGAGTTTTGGTCGCACGCATGTCAGATATGCGAGTTTCTTTAGATCAGGAGATGCCGATCGCAAGTTACGTCTTAAGTAGCCTAATGTGCGCGAAGCTTCAGAACGAATGGTTTCAATGTGTTTCATCTATGATAGTGATGATGCCAGATGAACTTCTAGATACTTGTAAGTACGCGTGTGATCAATGGGAACCAAATTAATGCAGTAGGTTTTATGTGAGGTGTTGTGTTTACGTGTGAAGGACATGACCTCGCATTTAGTGAGGTTTAGGGGCACATGCCATTTTTCGCACCATGAAGTGATGGTGTCAAGGTCGTGTTGTAGGGTGTTTGCGTCGTTAAGGGAGGTAAGGGGGTTATAAAAAGAACGGAGTCGTCTGCAAATAGGCGCAGCTGTGATTTGAAATTACTAGGAATGTCATTCACGTATTTGCCAGTAGCCTGGCTTGAGGTCAATCGATGAAAAGTATTTCGCGTTGTGCAGTCGATCAATGGCGTCTTTTGTTCGGGGGAGAGCGTATACGTCCTTCTCCTTGATCTTGTGAGGCACCGATAATCAATGCAGAAGCGTAGTGTTCCATTCTTTTTCGTCACTAACAGCACCGGTGACACCCATAGATTCTTGAAGGCTGGTTAATGTCATCGCGTAGCATTTTGTCAAATTGTTTCTTTTTGGCCTCGCATTCCTGCGTTGAAACTCTGTAAAGGTTCCGACGGAGTGGCCCGGTGCCCTTTTCTGTTACGATTCGATGTTTCGTGACAGAGATCTGTCGAACTACTGACGACGATGAAAATCAGTTCTTGTATTTCAGGAGCAGGTTTCTGAGCTGTTCTTGTTAGCGTGACGGAATGCTCGCATTAACATCGAGAGCTGAATGAAGGGTTTGAGTCATCGCAGTAAATTCGGCATAATCGGTGAACGCGAAAGCTCTGCTAGCTTCCAGGATTTCTTTTGTGTAGGCAACCATCACACCTTTGCTGATGTGCTTGTGGTCATGGCTGAAATTCGTAAGCATTACTGTTGCTTTTCTTCTACGCAGATAGGCGATTTCTATTGTGACGCAACATCGTCGTTGACCACCAGGTGCTGATTGCGTTCGACAACGCCTTTGAAGTATCCTTGTTTCGAAGTGCTTACGGAAATGAGGCCGCTTGAGCGAGGCGGAATGGTGACTTGTTTTTCTGACAAATTCAAGACGTGACTTCCTGGCAGCGTGCACGGTGGTAGTGTTTTTTTTTGTGTGGATAGTGTTATAGAAAATGTTTTTATGCAGATGACGGCACCATGAAGGCTTAAGCAACGTATACTAAGGATGGCATCTCCCTCTCCCGAGTAATGCTGAAGTATGACGAAGCTTGCGAGATAAATCTGGCTGTTAATGATGACTCTGGCTGTGTAGAATTTTGCCGGCTTAACTAGGTGACCTCCTGCTGTACGGATTTCGGGGCCTTCCCAGGTGGTCTTAATTTTGTTGAACTTCGCCCTGAACGTCCCACTGATGACAAAATCGTCGGCTCCGGTGTCAACGAGAGCTGCGACTATGTGGCCGTCGATGAGAACGTCGAAGTCACTAGTTGGCCACCTCGCATTGCAGTTGCGTCAGGTCATGGCTACGACGGTTTATGCCAGCGTTTCGACGTTGCGTTATCAATTTGTCTTCTGGCCTAAAATTTTCGACATCGGGATTACGTTGACGTTGCGCCAGTTCTTGAGGTTTTGGCGTGGCGTTGTCGAGAGCGGCGGAGGATCTCCGGTGGTTCGTCATACAGCATGGGTTTCAGTCGATAGAGGTGTGGTAGAGTAGAAACAAACTAGCTTTGAAAATTGTGTTGAAAATTATTTTTCATAGTGAACTCAAGCTTAACGGTACGTTTTTTACGCTCTAGTGTGCCTGGCCTGTCATTTGACGCAAAAACATTAATTGAAAATTTGTGTCAATAATCTTTTAATGACCAGCGGTCATGCTTCCTGCACGCTACGTGCCCAGCTCATGTTTCAATTATGATATACTAAACTCTGGTTCGTTCCGTCACCCACTCTGCTCTTCTCGTGTCTTAAGGCTACACCTATGATTTTCTTCTACATAGCTCACTGTGTCGTCCTCAACTGAAGCTCAACACTTTTTGCAAGCGTCCACTTTTTCTGCTTCGTAGGTAAGTGCGGGTAAGACGCAGCTATTATATACTTTTGGCTTGAGGGTTATTGATAGATTACCGTTCATGATTTGAGAATGCTTGCCGATTGTGATCCACCCCATTCTCATTACTCTAGTCCTTTCACTCTAAGGTTCGGCTTAAGAAAGAGGGCCGGAAGAACTAAAAATAAACTGAAGATTCAGTTTATTTCTAGTTCATCCAGCCCACTTTCTTCGTGTCTTAACTTTGACTTAACTAACCCAGCGGGTCTGGTGCCATTTACCGCAGTCTGCGAATGCGGTGCGCGCACGCTGAGCTGGTTCCTGAAGATTGTACAGTGCACGGTGGAAGTTCTGCTTGTGTGCGGGTGGTTACCTCCATAGGAAGGACATGCGGGAAAATCGGCAAGTTTCTGCGATCAAAGAACCGAAGACAGGTTAGGCACTTCAAGGGTTTTTCAGTTTACCGGGCACAGGTTCGCCCAAATAAACAGTTAAATCCTAACACGAAGTCTCAACGACGCCGATCGCGACCTGAAGTCGTCCAT